TTTTACATTCATCAACTATAACATTTTTTCCAGTGACATGAAATGAAAGAAAAAATGTTCCCTTAGATTGTTGGCATTTGAGAGGCTTTTGTTCCCTCTATGTGGTCATTTTTAAGGATGTAAAGATCTACTGATCACTCAGAAAATATATAGGAAGATATTACATAGTAAAAAACAATAGGAAGAAGGTGATGTGTATCTAAACAATAAAACAAGGGAAAAGAGAACTGAGATCTTGGTTCGACTGCAATGTTATGTCAGCAAGTGTTTGATGTCCAAGCTCTGTGTTTGATGATGTCTCCAATGTACTCTAGGTAACAAGGAAAATTAAAAACTCAGCGATCTTGTTGATGGCTCAGCAAATATATTGGAAGATATTACATAGTCAAAAACAATAGGAAGAAGGTGATTTGTATCTAAACAATAAAACATGGGAAAAGAGAACTGGGATCTTGGTTCGAACAGCAATGTTATGTCAGCAGGTGTTTGATGTCCAAGCTCTGTGTTTGATTATGTCTCTAATGTATTCTAGGTAACACAGGAAATTTAAAACTCAGCGATCTTGTTGATGGCACCTGTTTTAAATGCTATATTAGTAACTAATGGAATAAAGCCAGAACCCCAAACAATAATCTGACTGACATCTAATGATAAAGACTTAGAAATGGTGCCCTTGTACATTTGGCTCTAATTCTTATGTTTCTTTAAACTTTGCTGGTTGCTCTTTATTGTAGTTTCTTCTAACTCTTTTTAAATTTTTTTCCCCCAGGGAAAAATATTAATTATCCATAGGCTAGTATTATGTCAAGTCTGTTCATACTATTTGGTCCAAGATGGGTTTATGAGAATCTTTCATACGTTCTCGAAGGTCATCTGATGCAAATTCTTCTTTCTGCTTGTCCTTAGTTTTAATTTCTAGCATAAGAACCCAATTTGAGGGAGAACTATCCCTTTGACATAAAGCAAATTAACCAAATATGAAGGATCTCAAAACATCTTGACTTTTGGAAAGGCACCATTTTTTTCTGTGGTAGTATCTTGCCAAGACTTGCCTCTTTAGTTTTCCCCTTTACTGTCTCTCTTTGTTCAAAGCTCCTAGATGTGTTGTGGAGAGTATTGAGAGGGTTAAAAGGAATCTCTTTTGATTTGCTTCAAGTGAGTTTAAGTGGGACCACCTAGTTAATTGGGATATGTGTTGTTTGCTTATGAGTGATGGGGATCTGGACATTGGGAACTTGTATAATCATGTTCTTATGG